GTCAACCCAGACTAACACAATAAAGGAACCAGCAATCAAGGGAGCAAGGGGCCTATTGCATTGGGTACATCTGCTGCACAAGACCTCTTTACATGTTGAAAAACCAAGGATATTGCTTTGAGGCCTGACCCAAGCCATGATATCATCAATGGCCTCCTCTGCGTGTGAAAGCTGGACATTGCATTAATAAATAGTTGATTACAGAGATCCAGTGGCACAGTGGATCAGCTGGTGGAACCCCCCAGCCACCCTTTAGCAGAAACATAGGACAATCTGCACATACGTTGTGCAGGTTGCTTTTGCTGCTATTGTCAGGTGCTGGCGAGTTGGTTCCGACTCCTTGGGAGCCCATGTACAGCAGAATGCAACCTTCTGGTCCTGGTCCATCCTCCCAATTGTTGCCACTTTTTGAGTGCATTGTTCCAGCCACTGTGTCCGTCTATCTTGTCAAGGACCTCCCTCTTTTTCACCTTCCCTGTGTTTCACTCAGCATGATGCCCTTTTCCAGCACCTGCTCTCTCCTGACAACAGGCCCAAAGTCAATGAGAGGAAGTCTTGCCATCTTCGTCTCAGAGGAACATTTTGGCTGTGCTTCTTCCAAGACAGATGGGTTGGTTCTTTTGGCAGTTCCTAGCACTGTCAATATTCTTCACCAGGGCCATCGTTTTGATTCTTTTTTGGGCATCCTTATTCAATGCTCAACTTTCACCTGCATAGGACGCCATTGATAATATCGTGGCATGGGTCAGGCCTCAAAGGAACATCTTTGTGTTTTCCAAACCTGAAAAAGTCTTGGGCAGCAGATTTACCCAATGTGATATGTCCTTTCCTCTCTCGATGGCTGGTCCCATGAGCGTTGGTTGTGGATTCAAGCAAGGTGACCTCCTTGACGAAGTCTAACTTTTCTCCATTGATCATGATATTACCTCCTGGCCAAGTTGTGAGAGTCTCTGTTGTTTTCAGGTGCTCTCAAGTCATCTCTGAGTCATCGTGAGCCTAGGTACAACACAATGAAATACTGCCCCATCCCGACCCAGATGGTTTGTTGTTCAGCTTGAGCCCATTGGTACATCTACCCTCTCAGTCCACCTCATTGGCAGTTTTCCTCTTTTTCATTGACCTTCCACTTTACCAAGCATAATGTTTTTTCCCCACAAACGAGTCTCTCCTAATAACATGTTCAATGTACCTGAGACAGAATTTAATCATGCTCCCCTTTAAAGACTAAAATAAATAAAAAAAGATGATGACCTATGAAATCCCATAGGACAGTTTTATTTTGTTCTATAGTGCTGGTAGGAATTGGCATCCACTCTAAAGTACACGACAACAACAATTGCTAAAACAAAAGGCTTGACCACCTACAATAACGAAGACGTTCATAAGCGAAAGGATGTGAACTCCTCAATAACTAATCCTAATCCAGTTGGAAATTTTAAAGTCAACCCAAACGCTCTGCTATAGAGTTGATTCCTACTCATACTGACTTGTGGAGCTGAGAGTACAGAGTAGAACTGCCCCATAGGGTTTCCAAAATTGTAAATCTTTTCTGGAGCAGACAGCCTCATCTTTCTCCGTAGGAGGGGCTGATGAGTTACAACTACTGACTTTATGGTTTGCGCAGCCCAATGCACAACGCTCTAGGGGTTCCTTGGGAAAACAGGTTCTTTTAAATTAAAGTTTTGCTCTCTCACTTGAAACAAGGGTTGAAAGCCATCCTTTGAAGCCATCACTTGAAAGCCATCCTCTCAGAAGCATGGACATTTAAATATGCCTTGTATTCTTCAAGTGTAGAAGCATATTCAAAATGTAAATATTGCAGTCCTAGGATCTGCAGTGCTGATAACACTAGATTCTGTCTGTAAATGTCTGGTTCCCTTTAGAATTGGTCAATAATTCGAGGGCAAGGAAGAAGCTCTTCAAAGTCTCACCCTGCTTAGAACAGAGAGTGCTGGAAATATTTACCAGGAATGGATAAATAAATACTAAGTTTCTTCTAACCTTTTAAGAAATTAAACAATAAATTTGCGCTGGTAGTACCCTCAAAAGCATGTGTTCATGTTACTAAAACACCACATACATCAAAACATTAATTTTGCCTCTGTAATTCCCTTCAGTCTTTCTTTATTAAATTATGCTTAGGGAACATTTTAGCTACTTTGTTTTTTTCCACTAAAAGTCTTCCCTTTCTCTTATATACATCTCAGACCCTGATGACCAGAGCGAACAAGAAATGATTATGAAGCAATTTTGAAGGCTAGAGGAACTCCGGTTGCATAGTGCTGATGTGCTGGGCTGCTAATTGCAAGGTCAGCAGATCAAAACCACCAGCAGCTCTGAATGAGAGAGGGCTTTCTACTCCCTTAAAGAGTTACAATTTTGGAAACGCATAAAGGTAGTTCTACCTATAAGGTTTCTGTGAATCAGAATCTACTTGATGACAGACAGTGAGTATTTTGAAGGCCAAGTGCTGTTCTATCTCATCTCCCACCCCTGTGATGGCTTGTTATTACTATGGGCACAGAAATTAAAGTGAGACCAGGAGAATAAGAAATACCACTCTGGTTGCAACACAAAATTGAAAAACCTCAATGCATTCTATCACAGGGATATTAAAAATCAAACAAACAAACACAACATTTTAATACCATAACTACAGTGCTCGGCTTACAGAAAAAATGATCAAAAACCACAGAGCTAGTTTTGACTGTCCATTCAATGAATTGTGTGTTTGGAACTTTCCCTAGTAATTTCATTTTCTTAGCCTAAGAGTCCACATCTGCAAAATGGCCAATCAGAAATGATGATGTAACAGGTGATTAAGATAATGTAACAGGTAATTAAAATAAGTGAAAAAGAAATAAACATATGTCCTAAACACTAGAAATAGTAGATACAACCAATGCGCTCAGTGTTTTGCTGCTTCACATTGGCATGTGAAATTTGGAAATTGAATAAGGAAGACTGAAACAGACCGAAGACTTGATGCATGTGAACGACGGTGCTGGAGAAGAAGGCCGAATGTACCACAGGCTGCCAACAGATCAAACACGTCTGGCTTGAAAGAAATACATCTCGAATATTCCTTAGCGGCAAGGATGGCAAGACGTCCGTTCATGTACTTTGGCCATGTTATTAGGAGAGACAAGCCTAGAGAAGGACATCACGTTAGGTAAATAGAGGGACAGCCAAAACGAGGACAATCCCTCAACAAGATGGATTGACACGGTAGCTGCAACAACAGGTTCGGCATAAGAGCAATTGTGAGGATGGCACAGGACCCGGCAGTGTTTTGTTCTTTTGTGAATAGGGTAGCTATGGGTTGGAACCAACACGATGGTGCCTAATGACAACAACAACTTGCATGAGTCAACATACTTACATTCCCTGAATGTAATAATGGCATCCATCTGGTTCAGGCCGATTTTCACATTAAATGGTGGGGAATGACTTCTCTTGCCATAAACCCCCTCCCTGCTGTAGAGTCCTTTCCCACTCATAGTGACCTTACAGGGCAGGGTAGAACTGCCCCTGTGAATTTCTAAGACTGCACTTCTACAGGAAGGAAAGCCTTATCTTTCTCCCTCAGAGTGGCTGGTGGTTTCAAACTGCTGACTCTGTGGATAGCAGCCCAACATGTAACCACTATACCATCAGGCTCCTGTGTTTACCCACGATCTTTGGAAAAAGATGTAAAATCAGGGTGAAGATCTAGATTCAAATCAGCTCCTAGGGAGTGAAGTTGTGAAATTTGTTTCATTTCATGAGACCTCTGAGGTCACCCAGGATAAAGCAAAAACCCAAGTCATAAGGCAGAGTTTCTTTCTACCTGGAGCTTTGCTCTCTGTCTATGTGAGAGAGGAAATTATGTGATATTTACAGTGGAAAGAAACAAGCTACACAATTAACAAAGAAATGATTGAAAGTCTCTGAGCCTCTGAGTGGCAGACTAATTTTTAGGGGGTAAACGAATACAGAGTTACACGTGTGGTCATATAGATAACCTGGCACAATGGGGGTAAACGAAGACAGAGTTACACGTGTGGTCATACAGATAACCTGGCACAATGGCGGGTGCTCTGCACATGTTGGATCCTTTTCATGGAACTGTTGTTGGTTCTACAAAAAGAAGTTTCCACAGCTTTAAAGAAAAGACTTCTTGGGAGTATACAGAAATCTGGAACTCTCTTTAGAATCCACGTAGTGTTGTTTTCCTTAAAGATCTCTCAGACATAATTTTCCCAGATTTTCACCACATGAGAAGGTTCATTTGGTTAATGTTCACTTTGTTACTTACTACAAAATGCTTTGTATTTTTAAAAATAATTTCATTCTTTAGACATCAAAAAACATTTTTGGGAAAAGAAAAACCCACCAAAATGACAATGGTGCCCTGGGAGAAGGCCTCGGGGTGAGTTTTCCTCAGTCAGAGTGACTTAAAATCATTCATTGCATCAAAGTTGCATATGTCAGAAGTTCCTTATGACTTCCATAGGTTCCCTCCTCAGGGCGACCCCTCAGATGGCTGGGTGGCTATGGGGCTTATCATCCTCTTCCAAGATGGCAACACTCACTTCCATGTGGCTGTAAAACTGAAATCTTCATTTCTGAAAACACTCAGCTGTCTGTTTGTCATGTATGGAGTCACTGTGAGTCACAAAGCCACCCCTTGTCTGTCACTTTGTCATACTGTGGTGGTTTGTGTGTTCCTGTGATGCTGAAAGCTAAGTCACCGCTGTTTCAAACACCAGCAGGGTCACCCCAGGGGAACATGTTTCAGCAGAGCTTCCAGACAAAGAACAGACTATGAAGAAGGAATAGGCTGTCCATGTCTGAGGACACCGAAAACCTAATGGACATCATTGAAACACTGTCAGGTACTTAAAGCCTAAAAGCTGAAATAGAATATTGTCAGAGGTAGTGCTAGAAGATATGCCCCTCAAGATAGAAGGAACTCAAAATATACCTGAGAGGTGCCGAAGGGATCAGTTATCAGATATCAAAGAACCAAAAATCATACCATTATGTGCTCATCTTCCTGATA